AGCTTTTACAAAAAGAGCTCAATTACCTTTTTCAAGGTGATTACCAGCTGCAATAATAGCTCCAACTCCTGTATCATCTCTAGTTCATTCATCAACATTAGTAACAGCAGGTGTATACTTATTAATCCGATATAAACCTATTATAATAAACAATCATAACGAATACCTTTTATTAATTTCAAGAATAACTATAATAATTTCAGGTTTAATAGATAATTAAATACCTATCTCAAAATACCTATATACCTATATATACCTATCTCAAATCACGATTTATGCAATTATGATAAAATTCTGGTCGTAATAATATCGATAGATACAAAATTTATAATCGAATACATTAAAGCAATAAATTTTGGCATTTACGATTTGTAAATATAGATTATTGAAAATATTGATAATTTAAATTAATGCCAAGAATTTTGAAAAACTTAAATATGCACTTCCTGCTTTAATATTTACAATTGCATAACAACTTGAATTTATATCACTTTTAAGATTACATCATATGCTTTCTAATTAATCCTGCGAACAAAAATTTACCATTTGTAATTTCACATAGTTGCACCTGTAATTGATGATTCAATTCTATCACGGAATATTGTACAGAGAATTATCAATTTTTTATCAAAATAAATAGCTACTCATTTTCAGTGCAATAGTTGCATTTTCGACACTGGCGCAAAGCGGCAAAACGATCAACCTTCACTGCACGAATTATTCACCGTTCGCAGGATAATCTACAAGTTGGTAAGTAAGAATCCTGATACAATCAAAACTGCACTACCTGCAATCGCGAATAACGTTTCGCGAGTCGCCTGAAGGAGCTATGTTATAGCACAGACGAGCTACAGGATAGACCTACCACCTTAACGTATTTTTCTGTTCAACGTTCTGAAACACTCATCGTGTCATGCCCTCTGTGATATAGAGCGGTGAATTTAGGAACTACGTACAATTTAACCGTGGCTGGAAGTGTACATCGAGTGCAGAGGGTTAATGTCTACATTTATATCAGTTTCACATAATACCATGCATACTGGCACTTGTGCACACGTAATATATATTAAATACGCAAAGTGTGCATTTTGTATGACGCACTACACGTACATAATACCTACTTATAATGAGAATTGGCGTGTCACACATACGTGACGCTGATAGCGAACGTGTTAATGTACTGTTAAATTGTAATTTGTATGTTAAAGTGACCGAATGTAATGCATAAAACATCTAGCAAGCTCAAACGTTATTCAATTAATTGTCATAAAAATTGTTCTTATTTGGAAAGTACTGCTAGTACTATATATATTATAATTCACCATGAAGTACTGTGTAAATCTGATGTTAGGTATCGATATATGTGTATTAGACTAAACTACGATTTTTTAATATGGCAGCCAATTTGCTCGTATTATTTGCTACACAATTGCAATTATATATCAAATAATATCGATTGCCCAGGCCTCACCACGAGGAGGTTGCTGCGAATGGAGGCCCGCCCTATCCACACGGTCCCATCCACCCTCCTTTTACGCAATTGCTATTACTTTTCCATTCATTAATGCAACAAAACACCTCCTACTGATTGTACATTTGCAATACGTTCAAAATTTCGATCGCTATGCAAACGGACAATAGCAGGAGACTGAAAGAATTCCGCGAGAAAGAAAAACAAAAAGAAAAAAAAAAGGTTAAAAGTATCCTATCAATTTTAACTTAAAGTACTTTAAGTTTGGCTTAAACTTATCTTACGCCTAGCTTACAGTATAATTTCATTCACACTTGGCTTAAACTAGGAATTAACTCAACCCTCCGTGGACAATCTGGGGCTTTCATGATTCAAGTGAAATTTCACTCTCGTATTTCTTCGAATCGAGTTTTTATTTTTATTGAAAGAAAGTTTGAAACATTTGACTTAACGAACTTAATTGTGTAATGTAGTAAAGACTTTGATAGGCACTTCAGAATTTTTCAAAGCTTAAAATGGTAAATAAATTAGATTTGAACGCAAACTACCCAGTTTGCCTGTGGAGGGTGTTAAACCTGACTTAAAATTAGAATTTTTCAACCTGGGTGCAGTCAGTTTCCCTTTCAATTGTAGCAGCACTGTGCTCTAACACGAGTCCTGAATTTTCATTAAAACCTTGCCTACTTAAATGTTAGAATCTTAAATAATATCCTACTTAACTGAAAATTTTACTTAACTTAAAAAGCACTTACCTAACTAAGGATCTCACTTAATATTAAAATTAGCCTACCTAACTAAGGATCTCACTTAATATTAAAATTAGCCTACCTAACTAAGGATCTCACTTAATATTAAAGTTCGCCTACCTGACTAAGAATTTAACTTAATATTAAAATTCGCCTACCTGACTAAGAATCTAACTTAAATTAAAATTCGCCTACCTGACTAAGAATGTAACTTAATATTAAAATTCGCCTACCTGACTAAAGATTTAATTTAACTTAAATATTTCCTCCTTAATTAAGAATTTCATTTGAAGTTGAAAGTGACCTACCTACCTGACTAAAGGTTTAACTTAACAATTGCCTACTAAATTAAGAATCAAATTTAATGTCAAAAATTTAAAGAATAGCGTGGCTAATTGAAATTCCACGTTCATTTAAAAGACAATCTGCCTATTTAGAAATCTGTATTGTACCCTGCCTATTCTAAAAATTAAAGGGGACATAAACGAAAGTAGCAGTGTGTTAAGATGAATTGCTCCATTGTTCCTCTGTCACCTGCAACAAATTCAAACTCAAACAAATTTAGTAATTGAATTGTACAAATCACGATATGAAAGTTTCCTGAAATTTCCCAATAATTTCCTTTTATTCGTAATCACTTTACCATTTTCCATCTTCCGTACCATTCGTAATATTCGAGGTATAAATTGTCGATGTATCTGTAACAGACTTGTTTTTTCGATTAATAATTGCACAAATAAAAGTTTAACAGCTTGAAAAAAAGAGACTATGCACATGTAAATACATATATTTTCACACACAAAATAATAAAAATAAAATCAAAGATTTGAAACCTTCACAGACAAGAGGATAATTATTATTATTGAAGAATAGTGCACTATTTCCATAAGGAGACAGTTTACACTCAAAAGCCTCAATAATAACAATTAAAAATGAAAGTTTAACAGATGAAAAGAAAAAAATATACTCATATGTATACATATATTTTCACACGTGAAATATTGAAAATGAAAGTTTAACAGTTGAAAAAATATTATGCACATATATACATACATAGTAGCACATTAATTGAAATAAAAGTGATATTCAAAAAATTGCAATGTACTTTCCATTACTTGGTACACATTGATAATTCATTATTTTTTCTATTTTTGAATTTAGAGAATTTCACAAAGGAAGAATCTTTGATAATTGAATTGGAATAAACAGTAACTCTAAAATTTCTACACCGAATACTAAGAAAAAAGAAGAAGAGACTAAAATTGTGTACAATTCGTTTATCAGTTATAATTTTCCGCGAAGAAAACGTGGAGAGATGTTCCACTGTACTTTTCATTAGGAATTTAAAACCGAAATAATCGCAAATTTTACTGCAATTTTATCTATCTTTCTCAATTAGCAACGTCGTATCGATTATTTATTACAAATTTTACTATGAATATGTCGAGTCGAACTACTTTCTACGTTACTTATATTTCTCTGCAAGCTTTATTATGTCACACACGTAATACAAAAAGCATAATCGCGAGTGAACTTTAATTCGTGCAAAGCAATTTCAAAAATTTATAAAAATTCACTATACTCTACCATTTGCATCAGTGTGTAAATTTGCAAAAATTACGACAGAAGAATCTTACGTCGCGAGAAAAGTAAACTAACTCTAATAACAATTGATCGATCTACCATTTGCATCAGTGGGCAAATTTGCAAAAATTACGACAGAAGAATCTGACGTCGCGAGAAAAGTAAACTAACTCTAATAACATTGATCGTTATTGTTTTTCTTTTAAAGAAGTCACCGAACTTCTAACTTTCGTCCTACATTATCGATTCTACCTTTGATATATTCCCATTCAATTCGAAATTCTCAAGAAATCATTGTCGATATTCTATGATATCGTAAATATTATTAAATATCCCTTATAGCAATTCCATAAACATAATTCAACAGTATTTAATGACGAACACTCGGCAAATTTAAACCCGAGAAAAAACCGTGAGTGGAATAATTCTTTCTCATACGCAACGCTAATTTATCAAATGTATGAAATGGAAAGAGATAAAATAGATCTCAGAATCAATCGCGGTGAGTGCTTCATTATTTATGCAATTTGAATTTACGAGAAAAAAAAAAGATGAAAAAAGTTACCGTTTGGCGCGAGAGCAGCCACTTTAGGGCGCTTTGGGCGATACGCAACACTAATCATCTACGCACTCTGTAATTTTTAATACGCAACACTAATTCATTTATGCAGTTTGTAATTTATAATGCGCAACACTAATAAGGGAGGGATCCATGGCTGCTGCATTTGGTGCAGCTCTTACAGCTGCTTCTGAATCTCATTCAGAAATGGGGACATTCCACCTTTTTGGTGGAAAATTGGGGCATTTCGTTGTGGTCGCAACTCTACTCGAAGACAAAACGCGATTATTCATTGACGCAACACTATCGTTAAAATTAGAAATGGGGTGAAGACTAGTTTTAACAACTTTTACTCTCGATAAACGAGTAAAAAAAGGGGGGAAACTTTAACACTACTCTTGAAGCAAACAATTGCATAAAATTTGAAATAGTGAAATATAAAAATTTAGTATATAAAAGCAAACGCGAGCAGCATTTTTTCGCAACTCTAATTTAAAACGCGATCTCAGTTAATTCGCAACTCTAATTTAAACGCGATCTCAGCTAATTCGTAAATAATTAAAAACGCGATCTCAGTTAATTCGCAACTCTAATTTAAATCGCGATCTCAATTTTTCGCAACTCTAATGAAAATCGCGATCTCAATTTTTCGCAACTCTAATGAAAATCGCGATCTCAATTTTTCGCAACTCTAATGAAAATCGCGATCTCAATTTT